TTTTTTTTTTATTAATTAAATTACAACTAAAAAATATTTCTAAAAAATTGCACTTGTAGTTTTTAAAGTTTTTTACATGTGAAATTTTTTTTTTAATTATTTAATTGAAATTTACTTAATAAAAAATTTATAAAAATTTTGAAATGTCGGCCACCTTCATTTTCATGTTTTTGACACATTTTTTTTATTTTTTTTTTTTTTTGGTAAATTGTAATAAAAAAGTGATTTAAATAATTTTTATTAATTTTTACAAATGGTATTTTTTAAATAAATTTTTTTCATAATGACTTCTTACTATGAAATTTAAAAAAAAATTTCTATCTGTCAATTATAATACTAAAGTAAGCCCGACAATTTTAATTTTTTGATTTTTTTTTTTTTAATAATTAAATTAGAACAAAAAAATTTTTTTTTTTAAATTGCACTTACAGGTTTTAAAGTTTTTTACAAGTGAAATTTTTTTTATTTTATTTTTTTACAATCATTTCTTCAATAAAAAAAACTAAAAATTTCTAAATGTCGGCTAACTTAATTTTCATCTGTCAATTTCAGTAAAATTTTTTTTTAATAAAAAATTATAAATAAGTGAAAATTATAAAGAAAATTAATGACATTAAAGTTAGCAGACACTTAACAATTTTTTAATTTTATTCATCAAAAAAATTTGTTCCAAAAAATTATTTCTAAAAAACTGCATTTTTTATTTTTTTAAATTTCTACATGTCAATTTTTTTTTTGCTATAATTTATTTGTTATAAAATTTTAAAAATTATTAAATATATGCTAAATTAATTTTCATAGAAAATTAATTAAGTTTTTTTAATTAAATTAAAAAATAGAGAAGTGTCGGCTAGTTTAATAGTTATTAATAAAAAGTTATTTTTTTAACAAGTTAAAATATGTCATTGTTAAAAAAAATTATGTAGAAATAAAAACACAATGTCAATTTTTTGGACTTTTTAAACAACTAAATAATATACTAAAGTTAGCCGACGTTTTTAATTTTTTGATTATTTTTTATTTATTAAATTAGAATTAAAAATATTTTTTTTAAAATTGCACTTATAGTTTTTCAAGTTTTTTACAAATGAAATTTTTTTTTTATTTCTTTGTAATGATTTTTTCAATAAAAAAAAATTATAAATATTTTTAAATGTCAGCTAACTTAATTTTCATCTAAATAATTATGAAAAAATTTTAATACAACAAACTACATTTAGGAATTGAATACAATTACAATTGCAACTTTTTGTTAACGAATTTTTTTTTATAGTTTTAAGTTCTACAAAATTATTATCAACATTCATTACAAATATTTAATATTCTTATTTATATATTTAATATTAAATAAAGTATATAAATTAAGGCATTAAAAATTAATTACATTGACATAAATAGACATCTGTCAATTTTTTTTTAATTCCTACAACAATTAAATAACTATAAAAAATTTTTAATAAAAAGAAAATGTCTAGTGATTTAAAAAAATTTCAAGATTGAATTTTTAAAAAACATTTTTTTTTATCAAAAAAATTGTCAGAAGTCAGGTGATTTTAATTTTATACAAAATTAAGGTTCATGGGATCCAAGACGAGCATTACAGCAAGGACAGTAATGGTTAGCTGCTGCGAAGCAGTCTCCACAATATGCGCATGGGACACAGAGGCATAATCTAAAAGAAATATAAACATAGTAAGTGCCAAAATTAATTATTTATATTATTGAATGAATTTAATTATTAATATAAATTAAATACCCAAGAAGACAAAGGATCATGGCAAAAATATGAGTCTTAGTACTTGCTGCAACTTCAACTCTTGTTGAAATATCAGCGTTACAATGAGGACAGATTAATCGCACTGAATCAGGACCAAAATTCACGGGTACTATTTGAGTAACAACTAAAAAAAAGAAAATTAATTAATTTATTTAATTAATTATTAATTCGCAATTTTTTATTTTATTTATTTTTATTTAAGTTAATAATTTTTATTTAAGTTAATAATTTTTATTTAAGTTAATAATTGAATGAAGAAAAATTTTTTAATACCTGGACCTGGTGCATGAGTAACTGGTGGATAGTCAGGATTATAAGCTGGAGGAGGACTAACTTCTGGTGCTGATGGTGCTTGTCCAGGATAAGGATACATTGGGTATGATTGCGGTTGGATATTTGAATACATCGGTTGATTATTGAACCCCGGCGCTGGAGGATAAAAACCTGGCTGAGGTATTCCTTGATTATTCATTTTTGTGATCCAATGATGGGTTTTTTTGTTCAATTAATTTATTGTTAAATTTACAGGTAAGGCCTTAGACACTTAAATACACTTGTACTCAATCAAAACTTCAGAGGTACTGATAATCATGAGTAATGTACGTCATCATCATCAGTCTATTTTTATTTAATTACACTTCTGGGTAAGCTCTTAATTATCATTGTTACTTATCACTTCAAGGTAATGATTGAGCGATAAAAAAATAATTCTTGAGACGTTTAGTTAAGAAATAAAAGTATTTTATAGATTAGTAGGACATATTTTTCTTAAATTGAAAATTTATTTTTCTTCAAGTAATTATGTGCAAAAATTAATGCTTTAAAGTCGAAGAAAAGATTTTAAAAACTTTTTTTAAGACAATACTAAATTTTTAATAAAATTTAAAACCATGTCATAAATTTTTTATCAATTCAAAAATAACTGCCTTTTATAATTCAATTTTTAATTATTTTTTTCTTTCCTATTTTTTTAAATTCTAAAAGTTAATTTTTTTCTAAACACTTTAATTGAATAAATAAAAATTTTTTTATTACGCCAGATAAAAAAATTATTTATCTAATGTTTTTGATTCAACAATAATTATTTATAAACCGAAATAATTATCATTTTTTTGTCTCTGTACTAAAATTCTAAATTAAAAAATTTTTCGTTTCATATTTAAAAAATTTATTTGTTTAAAAATATGTCGGAAAAATTTTACTGTCATATTTAGAATTTTTAATTATATGAATTAAAAAATTAATAGAGGTTGTAAAATAATACAAGTTATAATTTATAATAATTAATAATTGTATGTACATCAGCATAAAAATTCATTAAATTTTTGTATATATATATATATATCCATACAAAATAATGTATGATTATTGATTGCATAACAGTAGAAAATAAAAACAAATTATCAATTTTCACAGGATCCAAGATATTGCTCGCATCCAGGGCAGTAATGTTTCTTCACCAAGCAGCCGTCTACACAATAAACACAAGGAGCGCAGAACCAGCATCTGAGAAGAAAAAAATGATGATATTGTACAATATTCTAAAATAATATTCCAGGTGTGCAAATAGTAATTATAAACTATCAGTTATATTCTATCAATTACTAAAAATTTTTTCTTATTTTGTTTTTCTCTTCTTTCAAATTAAAAAATTTTTTTTTAATTTCTTAAATTTCTTCCTATCTTCTCTTTACAGGTGCTATTTATTGTATATAATCATTACTAAACATTCTAAACAGACAAAAAAATTTATTTGAATCAAGTAAATAATTTTAAAGAATTTCATCTTCTTTATTTGAGTAGAAGAATTCTTAAACTAAAAAATTTTTCCTGGTTTGAGTTAATTTTGTTTGATTCAAGAATTTTTCGTCTCGACTGAAGACAAAAAAAAACTCTTCAAAATTATTTTTTTGGTTCAAGAATTTTTTTCTTGATATTGTAGTAAATTGCCGAGGGCGTTTCTTTACAAATAAATAAATAAATAAATATCAGAGCTTTAACAAAGTAGACTACTGTCTTTAAAAAAAAGTATTAATAATTTCATGATAATATTTCTTCAGAAGAAATAGATAAATTTTTTTACACTAATAATTTAAAGAGTTTTTAATTTTTTTTTTTTTTTTTTTTTTAATTTAATAGGAAAATATAAAGTATAATCTTACTGGAAAAGACAGAGTAGCAATGCAATCATGTGAGTTTTCAAGTTTGGTTCAGTTTCAACTCTCGTTGAAATTTCAGCACGACAATGAGGACAAGTGACATGCATCGATTCAGGGCCATAGTTTACGGCTGGCTGAACTAGAGTGACAACTGAAAAAAACTTCCGGATTAATAAAATAAATTTACTCTGTTGTAAGTATTTTATTTATTATTATTATTATTATTATTATTATATTATGACACTAAAATTAACAAGTAAATTATAAATTAATTTTAAAATCCAGTTAAATTAAATTAAATTAAATTAATGCTAAATTTCATTATATTTTTACTATAACTTTTACTAATAATTATAAACTTAGTAATTTCTCCCATTATTATTATCATCATGAGTAATTTACGACTTCTATCTTGTATGCATATCTACTTTAATCACTGTATAAAGCCGATTAGCGTTAATTTACTAAATAAATAAATAAAAAATTTGAAGAATAATTTTAATAAACTTGTTTATTTATAATAAATTCAGTGTCATGTTGGAGTAAGTATCCAAAGGTTAAATAAACAATAATAATAGCCAAAATAAATTTACCAGGTTCAGCAGTGGTCTGAAGTGGCTCCGAAGTATATGGAGGCGGTGGAGGAACTTCTGGAGCCGTGGGATGCGGATAAGGTGGTTGCGAAAAATCTGGCTGTGGAAGATTCGGATAAATCGGCTTTGTAAATCCCGGCTGCGATGGATAAGGCGACCCTTCTGGGTTCATTTTTCCGAAGGATTAATTATTTTTTAATAAATATTTACAAAAGAAAAAATTAACAATGAACGTATAAAAATAAACTATTTAATTCAACAGACGCAGATACTCGAACGTCTGCGCTCAATCGCAATTAGAAGCCAACTGATGTTCGCGGTATGAATACTATGTCATCGGACTATTTTTATACATCATTGCAATTGCAGTTATCACTTAATATCAACAATATAAAATTGATGCTGAAGATTCTGTGGTAAAAAATAAGACGTCATTTTTTTAACCATATAAATTATAAAATTACTTTATTTGTATATTTAACATAACGGTATCTTTTTTTTTTTTTATTACATAATCTAGTGCATGTTTTATTTATTACAGATACTTATTACAGAGAAGCGTAAATAAAGCTGAATGATAAATATATTTTCTTTTTTAATTTTCGCAGGCTCCAAGGTACTGATTACAAGAAGGGCAAGTGTGTTTTTTAACCAGACAACTGTCATTGCAATAAACACATGGTAAGCAAATCCAACATCTAGAAAAAAAAATTTTTTTATTTAATATAAATTATAATAATTAAGTGAAGAGAAATTTAATTTAATTTAATTAACTTACTGGAAAATACATAGTAATAGAGCAATTAGATGCGTTTTAGTATTTGCTTCAGTTTCAACTTTTGTTGAAATATCTGCGTGACAATGTGGACAAGTTATTCGCATTGATTCCGAACCATAATTCATGTTTTGCTGGATTACAGTAACACCTAAAAAATTTTTTTAATTATTATTAAGCTTGTAAAAAAAAAAAATAATAATAATAATAATAATAATAATAATAATAATAATAACTTATGTTAAAAATTTTTAAGAATTTATTATTATTATTATTATTTTATTAAATGCTCAGGGGGGTTGTCCCCGGAGTCCGACTCTCCGAGGGCCCAGCCTGAGCTCCATCCATTACTGCTGGACCACTCCGCACAACAAGGCGGTTAGTGATCACAGCAGGCCAAAGTCATTTCTCTAAGTAGACGGAGGGAACCTAGTATCACAGCCTTCTGCATCCTGACTGCCAAGAACTCAGCTTTTGATGAGCAAGCTGGAACTCTGGCAAGTGAGGATACAAAAGACTGTTTCATCCCTCCAAGGACGCCAACAATCAGAACGACAAGCTTGACACGGTAACCTGGGTAAAGTTTACCAATTTCAAACAGGAGATCCTGATATATTTGGCTTTTGTGCTCTTCTTTGGCTGAGATGATGTATTCAGCCGGGGCCGAAAACTCTATAACATAAATGTCACGAGTAGCCTTGTCAAAGAGCACAATATCAGGTTTGTTGTGATCTAACCGCCGGGTTGTTGCAAATGGCATGTTCCAATAGATTTTACAACTGTCATTCTCAACAACCTGGGAAATATCTCCTGGCAGATAAGGCAGCACTGGTGTCACATCAATACCGTAGCAATGACGAAGATAATAGTACAATACTCTCAGGGCAGCATTATGACGCTGGACATATGC